CCGAGGGAGACGGGAGGAGGGGGGCCTCGCCAACACAGGGTCGTCATTCGTGACAATTGTGAACACTGCCATCCTTGAAGCCCTTTACAGGTTCGAGCGACTCCCACTCGTGACCTCATGCATCTCCACAGTAACCTGGACCACATGCTTCATGGAGAAACTTCGGAGCCACACTGCCAGGGGCACACAGAACTGTGGTTCCCACCCCCGTCTGACGGCTCCAAGGCCCAAGTTCTCCCGCCCACCCCATACTTTCGGCGGACTCGATGGATCGTGCCCTAGCGGATGGGAGCAGCCGCCAGGATGTAGCAAGGGCTTGTTCTGCCCGCCACTGCCAAGAGCAGGCCCAAAGTGTCCCCAGATGCCCAAACAGGACACCGGTGGCAGCGGGGCAGAGACATCCGGCCAAAGTCCCAGAGCTGGGGTTCAGCCCACGTCTAATTCCAGACCCCAAGTTCTTATTCACTTAAGACGTTAACTCCAGGTTTGTGGTCAAAAAAGAGAGAAAATGCCGTCGGCAGGGAAACATGGGGGCCTCTGGCTAGGAAGAGGAGCGCCCGTGAAAATGGGATTTGACCCCGAAGCTGCTTAAAGATGAGGATGTCTTGGGAAACACACTCATGATCCCTGGAAATGTCGAGTCCACCAGTAAAACTAATTTCCTGTACCTCTTTGTATTTCTAAATGACCTCCTGATTTTTTAAGGATTTATTTATTTATTTGAGGGGAGGGAGGGGCAGAGGGTGATGGAGAGAGAATCTCAAGCAGACTCCACGTTGAGCGCAGAGACTGACGCAGGGCTCGATCCCATGACCTTGAGATCACGACCTGGGCCGAAACCAAGAATGGGCCGTTCAAACAACTGAGCCACCCAGGCTCCCTGCCTCCTGATTTTTTAACTGTCAAAGTAATACAATAGCAACTGTAACGTTTGAGGAAAAAAAAAAAAAAACATCACTCAGAAATCCCTCCACGCTCCAACACAGCATTTTCATTTTTCTGGAATATTTTCATGTCAATTGAAGTTTTACACAATGGTGACCATAAGTGTCTGTATTTTTTCCAACTTTTTCACACAAACATGTTCACTGCTGTTAAAATGCCTCCACTATGAGCATTTCAAACGTATAAAATTCCTTGGAGAAAACACCGCATAGTATTTAGATATTAGCTTCGCTTTAAACACGTCGGTTATTTCCTGGCTTTCACTGTAAAGGCGAGAACACTC